AAGAGTTGAAGATAGAGATGGATAGATATTCCTGTCATGGAGGACAGTCAGCAGAAGACTGAAAATACCAAGCTCTAGACAGATTGCAAAAGGCTAAATCAAAAATTGGTAATACAAAATGCATGCAGTAACCTATGCAGTAAATTTTGGAGAGCAGCAATCAAATCTTTATACACACATTGGTACTTAAACGCTTAAAAAAAAAAAAAAAAAAAAAAAAAAAACAAACAGTAGAGTTGCCAAAACTTCCTTCATGCAAGATTTTCTATCTGGGGAGATGAAGATAAAGTACCCAAAAAAATAAGTACAACTGCACAATTTAAAGTAAATCATAGTAAATAACACAGAAGCTACATTATAGCTCACCTATCTATCTCTTCTAGTTTTTCATCTATCATTGGACCCATCTGTTGACAAATATCTGTGAAGACAAAAGTGTCAAGGTAGTTAGTGTCTCACAAAATTAAAAGATTAAATGCATCCAAAAATGACTTTATCCAATTATACTAAAATAGCATACAGAATTGGAGAGTGCACCTAGTTATCATGTGTGTCCCATTCCTCCAGCCCAAATAGATAGGAAAAATACTTTGGCGATTCCGCTTTGTCATCTTCTCTCCTGTCTTCCCTCTACCCACTTAAACAGAGGACTATCAATGAAACACATGGAACATTTTGCATTTCTGCTTGCACTGTGCAAGATCTATGACTTTCATCTCCTACTGGAATATCCAATATGTATAAGTCTGCTGTGCTGTAGAGCTTCCTCTACCTTCACGTTTTCAACTCCAGAAACACTCCTTTATTAATGTACACAATTGTTATTACATAGCTTGAACTATTTGGCTCTTAAGTGAATGGAACTGCCTCTCCCCTCCTAGCCAGCAGTATTTTAGGGAAATTTTGACACGAAGTTAATTGCCTATTTCAAAAAGAGTTTGATAGGTAGATGGATCTTGCAAAGATCAGGCATTTTACACTAGCTGGAAATTATGCAAATTACTCTGCTGAACATGGAGTTGTTGGCTTGGCAACTATTAGAAAATTTAGAGTTATACATATAGCCTCCTGCTTTCACTGTGAAATAGGCTATTCTACAGCACACTGTTTGTATAGACCAGTTTCTCTAAGGTTAAACACAAAAGAATTACCAGCCCAAAGAAGAAGAAATAAAAAAACTAGCTAACTTAGAGCTCAAAGTACCTTCTGAGTCTAGAAGATCTGGAGAATCAAGCTTTAAATCTGTAGGATCTATACTCTGAAGTACCTGCAGCGTTTTATCCATTTTATCCTGAAAGGTGAAGAGAAGATGAGGAACAGTTATTTCTGAAGCGTGGCAGAGACTGTTTTAACTTTCAAATTAAAAAAAAACAAAAAACAAAAAACAAAACCAAACAAAAAAAAAATCTTTACGTGAAAAGAATTGGCTGCTAACATTCAGTAACAAAAGAATGTTTCAACCAATGTAAAATCTCAGCAATTTTTTTTTTATTGAAAGTGACTGCATACCTCATCTATATAAACTGGCTCAGGTTCTGCTTTCTTAATTTCTTCTGTAGTATCCTCAGGAACAGAATTTTTATCCACAGTTGCTGAAAGAACAAACATTAGTTTCTTTTCTGCAGCTGTGTTACTATGCTAACTTATACACATTTTTTTTTCATGCTATCAGTTCTTTAAATGAAAGAGAAATTTGAGTAAGTATTTCAAGCAGTGATTACACCTAGCTACTGGAGAAGGGAATGTGGGTTTGCCTAGAAAGCCTTCTGACAAGCTGCTTCCTTTGGGCTGTTAGCCTGATTATGAACCTAGTCCCAGCAAGGGAAAGACAGTTGAGTCACATTAGCATCTAAAACCACCTCCAACACATGTACAATTACTTTCAGCCAAGTCATGAGTGTTAGGTTTTATTTTGGTATCATGGGCATGAATAAAGCTAACAATGTGATTCTTATGAACCACTGACATGGGTATGAATGCTGTCCTATGCTAGGTCTGATGTCTGAAAAGAGACTTCAACATTTTAAATGGCAAGTTACTGGATTCAGATCTAATATATTACTGACAAAGAACTATGGTATATTGAACTTGAAAAGAAATTGAATGAATTTCTGTAACAGGAAAAAAGTAGCAACTTAGCATTAGAAGATACAAACTGTTAAAGTGAGCTACAACAGTGGTATACGCGTGCTTGTTTGAAACAAGGGCACGATGCCTCTCCCAATTCCTTCCTTGGGCTGATTTCAGGAAATTATGTTGCTCATGGGCTAGTTAGTAGTCCCACCATAAGCCCACCTTTCTAAAATAATCTGTCAGCTTTTAGTAGCTAACTTACCTGCCTCAGGTTCCACATTTAAGTCAGAAGTCACAAAATTAGATGGAAACAGTCCTACTCCTCTGTGATTTTCACCTTTCCACCAATTGGTGTCACTGGAAAAATAAAGATGTATTACAAAACTCTGAATATTAACACTCAGCATCAGCAACATTTTCAGGCTTTTGACAGAAAACCTGTGACATTTAATGCACTGTTTCCCTTCATATCCAACTACAAATACAAAGGAGAACTTCTGTTGAGATTAGCACAAAACCGAAGGCAGAACCGGAGGCAGAGGGTGGGGAAAAGGGAATGATCAGGGGAAGTAAAATCATTGAGTAGCAATCACTCAGAATTAAACATAACTCTTCAGTTCTTTAGGCCGATGACAGCCCATTACAGCTTCATCTAAAAGTTTGTAGGAAGTTCACAAGTGGGGAGTAACATTAGAGATATAATTGATCTGTCACAGCCTATTAAATTAGAACAGCATTCAGGAGGGAAGAAGTTCTGCTTCTTAGCTATCATTGGGGCAACAGTGATAACAATAACTATTTTTTCTTCAGTTTTATTCTTAGCAAACGTCATGCTAGATGGCCAGAAATTCAACAATTTCTGAATGTAGCTGGAATTCAGCACTGTAATGTGTATCCGTATTCTTATGACATATAACTAACATCTATCTTAAAAACTACAAACAAATTGTATGTACACCACAGTATGAAATATTCAGTGTAATACAGTGAGGTTCTCCCTGCACCAATCATGACTTGAAGTCAAAAACTCGGGTACAGGAATAACAGGAAAAGATAAAGGAATTTGAGGAAGGCCCAGAGTCACAATATTTATTTTGGGCAGGTGGTGGGGTGGTAAAAAGCATCAGAGGAAAAATTTGCTACCCTAAGGTAAAAAAAACCAAACAGTTCTGGAATAAAGGCACCTTCAGCTGAGTATATTATACCTGTCATCCAAAACAAAAATAATTTCTCCACTTTTAAAGGTGAGCTCATTGTCCTCGACAGCTTCAAAGTCATACAGAGCTCGCACCTTCCTTGAGTTCTGATTGTTTTGCTGAATTTCTGCAGACGGGTACAAGGATTTAGTTTCCATTTGTTGCTGTTTCTGCTCTTGCAAAGACAATTCGATAGCTACAGTTAGGGGAGGGGGGGAAAAAAAGAAAATAAGCTTGTATGTTTGATCCCTGTATATAAAGGCAGTCTGCTTTTCTAATTAAAATAAAAATATTTACTGCTATATTATAATAAACATGGTCTGTATCTGCTTCTCTAATATTTTAAGTTTAAAATCTTTGCTCCAAACTTTACTCTGCCCTGCAACAGGATTAAAAGACAAGATGCAATCATGCACAAGTTATAAAAGATTTAAAAAACCCTCGGCTCTTCATGGTACAGCCCACTACTTGTTGCAGTGCACACACTACTCATATCAGTAGCATCATTAGCATGATCAGAAATACTGACAAATTCTTCACTTTGACATCTGAACAACAATGATTATATTCAATAGAGAGAAAAAATAAAACATTTAAACGTTCTTTTTTTTTTAAGCATCAAGATGTAAGCTAAAATAAAACATGTGGGTGCAGAAGGGAGATCAATCTCTCTGGAGTGAAAGCAGTGACAAAACAATGCTAATGGCTACGTGATGGGGAAGAATATATCTTTCCCCACGTCCTCACCCATGAGATTAACACCTTGAATGATCCACTATACTAATTACCAACCTGCCGTGCTTTTGCTTTCAGTTCAATGCAGAAGAAAGTAGACTTCCTATTTCTCTACATTTTAAAAAAACTTCTAGAGCACAAGTCTTAAGCCAAGGCTGTGACTAGCAGTTTACCTTTTGCTATATCTTCATCTTCTTTGGTTTTACTTAACGATGAACCATTCTTAGCAGTATTTGTGGAAGCCTGCAAATGTGTTAACAATAGAAGTAGTTCACGTTATGAACAAAAAAGAAAGCCCTATAATTATATACTTTAAAATTAGTAATAAGTTGTTCCTGGTCATTTGCCTTACTGTAGTATTCCATTACTGAATCAAGATGACCTTCTAGAAGTAAAAAATAATCACTCTTCAGAATCTCACCCATATTTTATTTTGTTTTCAGCAAGGAACAAAGTAAAATAAATAATCAGATTTAATTTAAATAACTGATCTCATTTAAAGAATTATTTCTGTCTCATTTATTAAAGTGAGACTACTTATTTAAATGACTACTTTTTCCACTTTTGTCCTCCACCCCAACCTTCAAAAGGGAAGAAGAGCTCTTTGGATTCCTACATCTGCAAACATCAGGAACTGTAGTAATAGAACAAGGGATAATGGGTTTAAACTTACAACAGGGGAAGTTCAGGTTAGATATCAGGAAGAAGTTCTTTACAGTGAGGGTGGTGAGGCACTGGAATGGGTTGCCCAAGGAAATGGTGAATGCTCCATCCCTGGCAGTGTTCAAGGCCAGGCTGGACAGAGCTTTGGAGTGACACAGTCCAGAGCAAGGCATCCCTGCCCATGGCAGGGAGGTTGCAAGTAGATGATCTTAAAGTCCTTTCCAACTCTAACCATTCTATGATTAAGTAGCAGCTGGACTTACTGAAAAGAGAGGTCTCTCTCAGAGCAAAAAGCCACCCTCTTTCTCTGCTGGTGAGACAATGGGAAGGAAAAGCAAATGTACATCCAGTTGGAAGCTGCTGACTTAAATAATACGAATCTCCACAACAGCATAGTAAAATCATTCTTGGAGTTTTCATTCTGACAAGTCTTTCCACACACACCAGGAATGAAGTTTCAGACCCTAGCTGTGTCTAGGACTTATCAGTAGTCCTAGAAAACAATTCTGTACAAAAGTACCAAATACTAACAAGCTTTAGCTTTGCTTGCTTGAAGCGAAGTGTGTGAGGTAAAAACATCAAGATATCATTTCATATGTATTTGTAGGAAAAGAAGCATAATTGGTTGCCAGTACTCTAGATCTTCCATGTTTCTGCCATATGTTTTAACACATATCCTAGATTTAGAAGCGAAAACATCTTTGTGGAAAAAGGAAAGATCGTAAAAGTAAAAAACCCCTCTGTGATGAATATAGATAAAAGTAAACTTAATTTAAGGAATATGTAATAGAAGCTGTAGTTCTAATTTTCATGACTGAGCTTCACCTGACTCCTAATTAGCATGAAAATATTTAGAAGGATCAATAAACGTTGGGAAAAACACACCTGTCATTATATCTGCCAGCTCAAAGATTAGGCATAATACACCACCAGGAGTAAAATACAAAGGGTGAAGTTAGGGATTGGAACACCCCACCTACTGCAGAGACACGGTCAGGTAACTGCATAAACAAGAAATAGGGACTTGGAAAATGAAAGCATAGTGCAGATTATCTTCCAAAATGTCTCCATTCCAGATACTGCCCTTTGTTTTGTGAGGCAGTGTGAAGAAAAACAAAGGTATGTGCTCCAAGTCAGCCACGAGAACCATGAAACACCAAGTACAAAGTGTGGGTGTGGAATTGCTTAGACTTAAGGTGGTGACAGCTCAATGAAGCTCTGAAAATGATCAGAGGAAAACAAGGATCTAAAATGGAACAACTCATAAGGGCATGAGCTGTTCCATGAAATAGCCTTTAGTCTGTTCTTGTTTTTCTTTGGAGTGCAAGGACATAAGAAAGAAGAATGGATAAAAGTGAACCTCAGGATAAGGACACTACTAGAACAAGGTTTCTACTCTCCTCTGACTGAAAACAGATCTAATTTGAACAGTTTTTCATTTGTTCACCGCCAGGAACAGTGAACCATGTATCACCAGTACCATGTATCCCAAATCAGCTTTTACCTGAGATCCAGCTGCAGGAAAATTTACACCTTCTTCTTTTAAAGATTTAATAGTTGCAGATATTAAGCTACATTGTGGGTCTTTCTGAAATTCTTCTGACCACTCCACCATTAGAGTTTTTAGCTTTTCACATACTTTTGGATGAGCCTAGAAGACAAAATTGCATAGAAATGGATACTTGTACTTCAAAATGAGAAGAGTTCTTCCCTCTCATTAAAACTTTGTTACCAGAACTGTTTTACTATAAATATCCTTAGTAACTGTCTTGAATAAGAAAATTTGGAAAACAGAGCCTAGGATATATGGTCTTCTATAAACCAATTCAGTGCAGTGACAGAATGCAGGTAGTTCAGATTTCCCTGATTCTATCAAACAACAGGTTATTTTAAATCAGGGCTACTTCAACCCTTAAAGAAATCCTTGGAGGCAAATTCCCTTGCATAGTCAAAGCTTAGATCTTGCAGGCATCTCACCTACCTATGCTGTTATTTTAGTCAATTTTAGGTGGTTAAGGATAGTTAAGAAAAAAGACTGACAAACTTTTTGACTTTTCAAATGTTAGCCATGCTTCCACCTCAATAGTTTTGGAGAAATTCGGGCTCTCTACCACACTTACTCCCAACTTTTATGCACCTCCATGTTAGTTACCCTCCATTTTACCTTCACTGCTTCTAATTTGTATTGTTATTCCCCTCTCAGCCACTTTAGTTGGTCTAATATAAGATACCATTTTATAACCTCTGCTGTCTTTTCCTCACACGCCAGAACACATTTCTCCCTGTAGACTTCTTAGGTGACAGGATCTCACAAAAACATGATCTTTGTACTATCTCTCTACATACATATGTATGTATGTATGTTTCCTTGACTCAGATTCTCTCACAAAAAGGAAATATACATCATGTATGCGTTATATACAGTGCCACCTAGCTCAAGGCACATGTTATTCTGTTAGCTCCTCAATTAGTAACCAAGGTGTAGGGACATAGTCTGTTAAAGGAAGATAGTTGAGGCAAATCGAGATCAAGTTCATGCTCTGCCTGCAATTCCTCTGGCTCCCAAATTTGTCTCCAAACAACAGAGCCCTACAGCTCCCCTTCCTTTACAGGACTTAGAGCTAAATCCACATAGGACCACTGATTTAATTCAACACTGCAAATTTTATGTGTTAATAACCTCAGCCAAAGTCATAATCCATCTTCAGAAAATCAGGTCAGTCATGTATTTCGACACTGTCCCACATGACCTCCTTGTC